AACAGACTCCTTAGAGCACCTCATCCAGTCTCCTGGATTTAAATACCCTTAAATACCCTTAGTTGATGGTTCCCACATTTTTATCTCCTGCCTGGCCATACCTCTGGCACTGGACATTATATCAGACTGCAAGCTTAACATCTCCACCTTGAGTCTAACACGCATCTCAAACTTAGCGGTGTCCAAACTGAAATCGCTTGATTCTGCTCCCCGAGACTCTTCCTCGCCCCCATCTCAGCAAAGAGCACCACCCATATCTACCCAACTGCTCAGTCAGAAACCTCAGTTATTAGATTCCTCCTCCCCAACCTCCACCAAATCCATCAGCAAGCCCTGCCCATTCTACCTCTAATAAGCATCTCACACCCACCTGCTCCCCTGCATTCACCTCCTGTCACCTCCCCACCTGGCCTGCTCCAAATGCCTTTTTATTGCGCTCCCCAATTCCACACCTGCCCTCTCCACCAATGCCACCCCCTTTAAACACGAGTTAGGGGGTGTCACTTCCCACTGCAAACTTCCAGTGGCTTCCCACTACCCTTCAAATGAAACCCAAACCTTTCCAAGGCCCCAAGTCCTGCACGATCATCTCATGCTGCCCTCTCCCCCTGCCCCCTTGTCCACCTGTGCCTCTTTTTAGTCGTCCCCCCGCAAGGCCAAAGTCCTTCCACACAGGCCCTCCTCTCTCTGCCTGATGCTCTCTGTCTTCCCCTCACCCCCAATCCTCAGAGAGGCTTTTCTAGGCTTCTTTAGCTAAGTAACTGCAAGTTACTGCTCCCTGTGGTTTCATCTGAGCATCTACCACATTTTGCAAGATATATTTCTTTACATGTCTGCCTCCCCTCTGGACTATAGCCTAGGCGGTGGAGTGGGGGATGGGGAGAGGAAGATGATTATGTCTTTTAATTATCAGTGTATACCCAGAGCGGTAACACAGTACTTAGCAAATAGTAGGTGCTCAATAAGTAGCTGCCAATACGTACGCATGAATAAACCAGATCCAGTCACAGCACGAAAGTAACTGTTAACCTCCCACAAGCCCTTGGTTACCATTTAGGTACACAAGTTCTTTTTCCCCTTCCTGTCTGTCAAAAAAGTAGGTTTTTAATGTTGCTAAACCAACAGCCCAATAGCTCAGTATACTCCACTCATCCCCAGCTTGTTGTCTTCCGTGAGGAAAAAGTAAAAATCATGTTTCTTCAGTAAACCCCAATTAACCAGAAGACCCTACAAGCAGCTGCCTTGAGAACTTAAACATCTTTAGAAAATACCACAGAAGCTTTTTGGTGTGTATTTTCTTTAACCCAGAAGAGAGCCATGGGATCAAACTCATGTTACCAGGACTCTGTTATTCCTTATGATGCCACAGTATCCTAGCTGAAAAACATGCCAATATCTGGACTCCAGCTGCTCCTGTGTCCCTCTCCCCGCAAAGGAAATCAACTATGTTTTAGTTTCCCTTTTATTTCATTGGTTCCCCTCCAACAGGCAAATTCAGAAATATTATTAATCCACAAGGTTCCAGCTGATTCTCCTCCCTAAATCACACAGTTTTATGAAGTCAGAAATAAAACCAGCTGAAGTTAACTGCTTTTAGAGCAATCAGCACCCATCTCTACTGCCTGGGGTCTGAGCCACTTGTCTGGATCCTTACTTCTCATGTCAATGCTCAAAGTCAATAAAAACATCAAGAGCTTTTCCTCCAAAAGTGCCCGTGGTGAAATGTATGATATCCCGGAAGTGACAGTAATACAATATCATTATTTTGAACCTTATCACAAATATACGACCATATCCCAATTACCCACATGTGAATTCTCCACAGAAAGTGGGTAAAGCCACACTAGGCTTTCTGGTCTCCCACTCCTCCCAAGACTACCTCCCCCTGCTGCCTGGGATTAACAGCTCAATTAACCTTAGACTTGACCAGGCATAATTAGGCAGGTGAACCAGCTGGCTGGAGGGGAAAACTTCCAAGATGAACTGAAATTATTTTTGGTGCCTGGGATTATATGCCCCACTCTCTATTAGCATACATAATTGGGACTCAACCATGCACTTTTTTTTTTCCAAGACGGTGGCAGACTTTCACAAGCATTTTCTTGCATTTGACGGTCAAGATTACCAGGCCACTCAAGAGTCCTTTTTGGAATCCAAGGTGTAAATCCACTCTCTCCATGAGAAGACAAAAAGAGAAGTTAATCAACTCACCCAAGTCCATGAGGCAATTTGGCCGTTGGCCCAGGAAGAGACAGACTGTGGAGATCTCTTGAGACTTTTCTTCACAAGACTGAGTCACAGAATTTCAGACATGAATGGAACTCACGGATCAAACCATGCGTTTTTAAGATAAAAACTCTGAAGTCCAGAAATGGCTAGACACTGATACCCTCCCCACTTTTTCTTCCAGTGACGCTGTGCTCCTGCCTTGAGAATAAAACCACCTTAAAAGTTCTTTGTCATTTTACAAATCCTGTAAACTGAGCCAACTGCTGAACACAATTTTAACATGTTCTGATTAATCAACTTTATGGAGAATCCTCAGACTTTCCCCCCAAAAAACCTCTGATGCTTTCAATTATTATGACCAATCCACCCATCAGAGCAGGAGAAAAAGAATTTTAAGTAAGCTTGTTTCTGTGACCACACATTTTATTACATAAGCAGCAAAGAACACTACAGTCTGTCCCCTCTCTTACAGTGAAAGCTCCCACCTTGACAAAAACCACAGGCCCAAGTGGGTTAATGGATGCAAAACTGAGTACTTTCCACACAGTTCGTAGAACAAGTGTTTTCACAGCAAGCTCACATAAATGTTATGTGATATTACCACATGCCTGCTATGTGGAAGCCTGCTTACCAAGCTGTGAAAAGACCCATGCTTACTACGGAACCTGCAAAATTAATCTTCTCAGTGCCCATAAAGCAGAAGGGAAATGCTCTTTTTTGACATGTTAAGCTGGCTTCTTAAACAATTCTTTGGCGAAAATGGACATGCCTAAAAGGGCGGAGCCCAAAGAGGTGTGTCACTCCTGGTATCAATTCCTATAAATCAAATCCTGACAATATTTTTAAAAGAATGAATTATGATTCATGGGCCTTCAAACCTTTATTACCACAGAACATTCTCAGAAGAGGGAAAAAAAGCTACTGTGACTTGATTAATGGCCAAAGAAAGACAATAAAATAAATCCCATAAATTAAAAAAAAAAAATACTGAATGACCATAACCACTCTTGGCTTGAGGGTAGACATGTAAATAATTCCCCTACCTTGGGATAAACACACATAAAGTTTCTGTTTACCTTCCCAGCATATATATCAACCAGAAGCAGATTTTCAGCAGGGGAAAAATAATAGCTAATTTGTTTAACGAATGCCTAGTTAGGAACATTTGATAAGTGGCAATAATATTGAATTCCCAACTAACTCAACTCTCAAGCTGCCAAAAATCAAATTCTCAACCTGGAAATCTGATGACAGAAAGGAAAGAAAAAAAAAAAAGAAAAACCACTGTCCATGTAAAGAGATCATTTTTTTTTAAAACCCACTTTTTCCCCTGCTAGTATTGAGCCTGTCTGTAGCACTGCAGAAAGCTTAACTAACTTAAGTTAACCACACTGCCTAGTGTTCACTCCCTGACTCTACTAAACTTGTCTGGGTTTGAATCCCTGGTGCTAAAATTATCCTGGCCAAGTTAAAACTCCTAGCATACTTATGGTGGCGATCATTTCATAATGTATAAAAATATCAAATCACTATGTTATGCAACTGAAACTAACACAATGCTGTTAAGTCAATTATACTTCAATTAAAGAAAAGAAAAAGAAAAAGAAGGAAATAAATAAAGCTCCCAGCCTAATGAAGGTACCTGACAGCTAAGACCTACAACTCATCTGCAGAAACCAGTAGGCTGAGGACCAGGAAAAGAGGCACAGAGAAGCAAAGAGGGCTGGTTAACTAGTTAAGGGCTGAATACTCCTGGTTGTTATCCTTCCAGAGAGCACCAAAACCACATTTTCCATCACCAGACTGCTTTCTTGAGACAGTCTATAATGCAGAAGGTTGGTACCAATTGGGACAACTTAAAACTCCTTTCTTAAAGCTCTGCTCCATGGCCTGCAAAAAAGTGCAAACAGCCGGCATTTTTTTAAAAGAACTCTTCAGCCATCCCTGGATCCGTCATTCTTAAACATCACTTCCATGCACTTCACAAGACAGCCGGGGCCATGCTGTTAGCAACCCGCTTCAACACGTTCACTTGCCAAAGCCGCGTCTAGTGTGGGGAAGAGTTTCCACAAAGCTGGCTCTAACGGGCCAGTCGAAGGCACACAGAGGAACCAGAAGTCATTTTCTTTTAACCTAAGGATGGCAGGCGCACATGCTCCAGCCCAGTGCTGGCCAGAGGCTGCCCGCCAGGTGCTCTCGGCCTCTGCCAGTGAATGAGTGGTTTTATGCTGTTTTTTTAACATCTATTTCTTTAGACCACCGGCAGTAACTTCACAGTCTTCCGAACTGAAGTTGGGGAGTCAAGGGGCAGGTTTACTCCCTTACACATTTCTCCCGTCTGGGTGGCCACTTTAACTTCTGGGGAGGACCCAGCCGCCGAAGGGCCCTCAGGAGCGTATACATACACATATGCATCATGTCAAAAACCCCAAAAGGCACATCCCTAGGGTCCTGCGGCTTCTTGGCTGGAATAATGAAGGCTTTATAACAACACAATCTTCAGTTGCAAGCCCCCCCCTCCTTTAAGCCGGGTCTGCCAATTATAGCGCCCACCTCACCCCTCCCCCCTTTGCTGGGATGCTCTGCAGCGCAGAGAGGGAAGAGGGAAGAAGGGAAGCAGAGAAGGCCCTGCTAACATACTGAAAGTAAAGAAGTGGGGGGAGACTTCTCCTAATCTGTCCCCCTACTTTTCTCCTCCCCTCCCCCGTCTTCTCACGGAGCATCCCCCAACTAATTTTTTAAAAATGAAACTTAATAAGCTTCTTGCCTACCTTGGCTGTTTCTGCAACAAGTGCATGGGCAATCCGACAAGAAGGCCAGTCTTCGCTTGGGGGGTGAGATGGGGGGGCGAGCAGAGCTGATGGAGTAATTTCAATATTAATTTCTGTCAGAGCCGCCTTCTCGAAGCGCTACTCACTTACAGTACTGCCCTCAGCCTGTAAACAAATATCGCTCCGCCAGGAAACATACTCCCCAGATGCAAGCCCCTCTCCCCAGCAGGGAACCTGGCCCTTCACGCCCTCCCCCCAAAATAGCGTGCTCCCCCACCCAGGGTAGGAAGCTCCGGGTTTCCAGAGCACCAACCCACCACCTCCGCCACCACCCCAGCAAGAAACTTACTCGGTCCGTCTACGCCTCCACCCTCCCTTCAGGAAATCTACTCTCCATATGCATTCAGCCTCCCCGCAGGAAATCTGCTCCCCCCTCCCCCCTTCTATATACATGCACCCCCTCCCTCTCCTCCTCCCCACGCGCCCTCCCCGGCCAGAAACTTACTAGCGAGAAAGCGTGCAGGCTCTCCCGATCCTGGAAACTTACTCCCAGATATAGCGCCCGCCAGCCCCCTTTCCCGGCCCTGCTCCCCTTCCTGCCCTCCGCCGCAAGCAACTCCAAACTCTCTGCATCCAGCCACTCTCCCTCCCCGGTGGAAATTTGCAGCGCGGGGCCGCGCGCGTGCATCCACCCTCCCCTTCAGGAAACTTACTCCCCATCTGCATGCACCGCCTCTCAGCCATCGCTTAGAGGGAAGGGGGTGTGCTAGGGAGACAGAAATACATATGTATCTCTCGCCCCTCCCCCGGCCGCAGCCCACTCGGGGCCGAGCCGCTGTAACCTGGCCTTACCTTTTGCATTGCTCCCCACCCTCGCCCCCTCCCTTAACCCTCCTTATCCGCTTCCCGGCGCCCCCTTTTTTCACCCATTACCCACCCCTAGCAACCGTTCCCAAGCTCCTCTCGGCCTTTTTTTTTTTTTAATCCAGGATGCAAATTCCTCCCCTGTCAGCAAATCGACTGTCAAATTATTTTCTTGCAAAAGGAGAAAGGCGGGGTGTGGGGGGAGCAGAAGCAAAAAGGAGGGGAGGCGGGGGAAGGGAGAGAGAGGGACAGAGGAGGGGAGAGATATCCCTCCGCAGAGCTGGGTCTGGCCGCGGGCGGGGAAGCAGGAAGTAAGGTGTCCAGCGTCGCGGCCGGCGGGTCCTCCGCCGCGGCCCCCGCCCGCGCCCCCTGTCCCCCGGGGCGCCGCGCTTTGGCCGGCGCGGGCCGCCCGGCGCATTGTTCGCAGCCTCCCTGGCGTGCGCTGCCGACCTTATCTGTGTGCTCTGCCTGTACGTGAGGTTGCACCTTTTGTAGGCTGGCGAGACTCTGGACATGGATGGGGCAGGGGGCGCGGACCAAGTTGCGGCCCCGCGCGGGACCTGTCAGCCCCGGGGTGTGGCCGACTCTCTGGCAAGGCCGGAAAATCGAGGCCCGGGAGAAGGTGGCGTGGTCGGGAAGCTGCCGCCTGAGACCCGGACCAGTGCAGGATTGTTTCCTGCGTAGCCGTCCCGGTTATTGTAACGCGCTTTGCAATCTAACGACTGGGGTTTGGGTTTTATGTTTATTTTTTAAGGGGTTGCAAAGATGCCAAGGTCTAGGTGGGCTTCGGGGAAACGGTCTGCGCCTACCCCCCGCTGCATCCCGGCTTCTGTGGGGCTGGGAGAGAGGCTGAGGCTCCCGGGAAGGGGCTTGGAGGTTCGCGAAGCGCGCGGCTCCATCCCTCCGCCCCAATGGGGGCGGGGAGGGGGTGCTGCAAACGGCGCTGGAACTGCATCCCTCTGGGGAGGGGTCTCCATCTCCGCGGCGCTGAAGGCCGGGGAGGGAGGTTGCCTAGGAGAGGGGCCGGAACCGGGCGGCGGAGGGGAGGGGAAGGGGCGCGGGTGCCGCCGCGGCGCGCGCCCGCCCCTCCTCGTGCGCCATGACTGTGGAACGTGGTGCCGGGGAGGAGGGCCGGCCGCCGGGGGCCGCCTGGGGCCGCTCGGCATTGGTGCGGAAACCCGAGCAGGGAGTCGCTCCTCGCGCAGTCTCCTCCTCCTCCTCTGCGGGGGAAACCGCTGCACCTAAACCGAGAGCAGCTGCGAGCAGGGGGCAGGGCGCGGGCTGAAAGGCAAGCCAAGGGTTCAAACCTCGGCGGCGCCATGGGAGCGAGAGCCCAACAGCCCCCTGGTCCCTCGAAGGCGCGGCCGCCCTTCGGTCCAGCCCGGGACGCCAGCACTTCCAGGCGGCTTCTCTGGTCCAAGGAAACGTAAACCAAAGATGGTTGGGCTTAAACAGACTACCTCGGGCCGGGTACGGGGCATCTATCTTAGGGAGGTCCCACAAGACAGCGAGTGTTTTTTGCTCAGGAGAAAGTTAAACCATGTTTTTTTCGGTATGGGAAAATCGTTGTGCCCCTTACCCCAAATCTTCGCGCAGTATAAATAAGGTGCTCCCTCTACCCAGACTTTCGCCACTGTCCCCTCACCCCACCCCCACTCGGGCACCGGGTGTGGACAGGGCGGGGGAAGGCTATATGGGAGCTTAAAGCATGAGGTCATGGACGGAGGAGGCTGCTGCCAAAAGCGGCCGAGGTTTTTGTGTATTTTGAGGGGTAACGGTTCTCCATCTTAAGCAGTGTTAAGTTCTCCCGCAATACCCTACGAATTCTGGGGCACCTGGACCAGAGAGCCCCCGAAAGAAGGGGGGGCTCTGCGCTGTTTGGCTCTTTGAGCTTTTGGCCGGTGCCCTGCCCTTTATGGGGCCCTTCCACATAAGCAAAGAAAGTCGAGGGACAGCGCACAGTGTCGTGGGGTTTGAGAAAGACTCAGATGCTCGGCTCCGCCCCCCAGCGCCACTTTCCTCAGTCCTCGGTCATTTTCCAACCCGATTGCTTTCTACGATAGCCTCCTGCCCCTCTCCGACCCATTCTTCCCAAGTGGCTAGAAGAGTCTTTCTAAAACTCCGGACTACCCTCCTTCAAACCCCTCCCAATTGCTCTTAGAATAAAGCTTTGAAGCCCGCCCCCGCGATTTCGCCCCTACAGACCTCTCCACTCTCACAGCTCCTCCTCCCATACTGTAAGCCGGGTTGTGCTTTGTTCTGTTGTCTGGGCCTGGGGTAACCCTTCCTCCTCCACCTCTTCTTACTAACTCCTGCTAGACCTTCAGAACTTGACTCAACTGTCAGTACCTCCAAGAAGCCTCCTAAGTATACAATCTCAGCTTTAACTCCCTCAGGGAAAAAAGACCCACCTTCGACCTCCGGGCAGCCGGACTTTGCCCGGAGCTGGCCGCAGTGGCGGCCCTTTTCCAAGCGGAGGAGGCATAGCCAAGCTTGCGCGCCATCACTGACTGGGGGCCCCACCTCCTGGGAGGGAGTTGACTAGGACAAAACCTCCAAACACCCTGCTTCCGCAAGAGACCTAGGAAAAGCAGCGCAGTACCGCCCAGAAACCTCAGCCCCTACACCTCCCACCCCCCAGCACACACCCACACTCGTAATGCAAGGAGAGGTCTTTTCATCTAAAACTCCTCCCTGGGGCAGATAAGAAACCTGAGGCTTGAAGGGAGTAAGTGACTTGACCAGGGTCAATGAGGAAATTGACACCCTGGTCTTTCTTGGTCCTGAACTAGAAGGAAGGATTTGGGACCTAAAGCCTTGCTGCTGCACAGCCAAGGACGCCTGCATCACCTTCAAAGGACCCCTACATGCTTGGCCCACTGCCAACAGAGAGGTAGTAAGCCTAGTGGTTAGTCGTGCAGGCTCTGACCTTCAGTAAGTTCCTTCACCTCACTTGGTTCAGTTTCTTTGCCTGTAAAATCAGAATAATGGTACCTGCAGTGTATTGTTATTGTGAGGTTTTAATGAGTTCCTGTATGTAAAGGCCTTAGAACAGAGGCAAGTTCTTGATTATTTGTGAGTGGGGTTATGTGACCCCTCCCTTCCCAAGGACTCTAGAAAATCAGAGCCCCAGAGTCTTTACTTAGCATCAAAAACAACTTAGGGCCTAATAAACTGGGAAAGCACCCATAAATGTACAGACAGTACATACAAAGACCTTAGTTAGCCCATAGATTCAGCCCTTGACAATGCCTATGCTTGAAGACAACTCCAAATCTGGGAGCACTGGTTCTGGACTCTTAGAATGAGTGTCAGAGGGAGGATAGCTAAAGTTAAAATATTACCTTAGATCTTTGAAATCAGAGTCAAGCTGAAATAGTCTCATCCTGGTGCAAAACCTGACTTATGACCGAAGCCCTCCTAGGGCTGCAAAAATTGTAAGGGGATTATTATTATTACTATTATTATTGTCATTAAATCCTAGTTTTCCCATTCTCAGCACTTACCCCATGGTAAAAGAGGGGTTTTCTTTTTAATGCAATTCATTTTATTGGAATTGGTTTAATGCATTTACATGGTTCCAAATTCAAATAAACATTGAGAAGTCTCCCTCCCACCATGTCTGCTCCCCACCGGTTTTCCCTCTATGGAAGGTCAGAAGACATATTCAACTGTTTTCCAGCTGAGGTCTCGGGAAGAACTCCTTGGATGCCTACTTAAATTTTTATGTCCAGGGCTTCCTTCTCCAATCCAGGCAGAGTCAACACCCTACTCCCAGCCTCCCCACCCCTTCAGCCTCAATCCTACACAAGTTGTAGTAACAATGATGAGCCACAATTCCTGAGCTACTGACAAAAGCAAACAACCATTTTGTGATTCTTTCTCCTCCTTTATGCTAGGAATAATAGCTAAGGTTTACTGAGTGCTTTCTATGTGCCAGTCACTGTGCTAAGTACTAGACATGCGTTCTCCTATTTAATCAGCCCCAAACCATCATCATTAACCTTATTTTATAGACGCAGACAGAAGTGCAGGATCAGAGAGATTGTGTAACTTGCTCCAATTTGCACCCAGGCCAACCTGAGCCCAAACCCTCTCTCTTAACCACTAGGCCTCTTGCCTCTCTGCAACACAGGGAAAATTCTGGTAGCCTGAAGGGGAAGGAGTAGAATGGAGTCTTTGGACTTAGGCAGGCCTTTATTCAAGTCCTGGGTCTGGCCCCTACCAACAATGAGAACTTGGGGAGGTTTCTTAACCTCTCTGAGCCCTAGTTCACCCACCTGTGTACTGGGACCATACATTCTTCATTGGTCAAATGAAGTGAAAGTCAAATGTGTGTAAATAATGGTTTTTAAAAGGCGTAGTAAACCAAATGCAATGTTTAGATCCTGTGTGGCTCTGATGTGAATAAACCAATTGTTTAAAAGACTTTGAGATAATCAGGGAAATAAAATGTGGACTTGATATAGATGTTAAGAAATGGGACTTCCCTGGTGGCACAGTGGTTAAGAATCCGCCTGTCAATGCAGGGGACACAGGTTAGAACCCTGGTCTGGGAAGATCCCACATGCTGCGGAGCAACTAAGCCCGTGCGCCACAACTACTGAGCCTGTGCTCTGCAGCCCGCGAGGCACAATTACTGAAGCCCGCACACCTAGAGCCTGTGCTCCACAACAAGAGAAGTCTTGTTGCGTAATGAGAGGCCTGCGCACCGCAACAAAAGAGTAGCCCCCGCTTGCCGCAACTAGAGGAAGCCCGTGTGCAGCAATGAAGACCCAATCCAGCCAAAAATAAAATTAATTAGTTAATTTTTTTTAATTAAAAAATAAAAGAAATTATTAATTTTGTTACATGTGATAATGGTATTGCGGTTAAATTTCTTCTTGAGTTCTTATCTATTAGAATGCATAATGGGGAGTCTGGGGTGAAAGTATGTTTAGGATTTATTTTCAAATAATCCAGCCCCCTCCCCAAAAAACAAAAGATAAAACAAGATTAGCAAAGTGTGGATAATTGGTGGAGCTATCTGTTATACTGTTCACTCTACTTCTGCTGAATGTTTAAAATGATTCAAATAAGTCTGAAATAAATTTAAAAGTAAAGTAATTCTATTTTAAAGCACTGAAATTTAAAATGATAAGGCTTATTCAATTACTATGAAATGTTATCAGTAACTATGAAATTGTTTAAGTAGTTTGTTTTTATTGTAATTAGTCTTCATTTTTTATTTCTTAGTTTACACTTTTTCAGTACTGTTAATTAATGAAAACAAACTATTTTATACATTTAAGTGATAACAAACATATGTGCATAGATAAATGTATGTCTATACACATTTTTAGACAGATACACATGGATATATGTATTTGTATGCACATAAAACTTGCCTGTGATCTAATTTGTGATAAATATTTACTATGAAATTTTTTAAATTGTTGAATTTAAAAAATACAGTACTGGCTTATAGTAGAGATGCAAAAATGGCAATTTTGTTACTGTGAGACATTCAGAGCAACACTTATGTCTGGCAGGTAAATCAGGAAGGGGGCAGAAATGAACACTGCAGAGAGCAAGGTGGACATATCATTGTTAAGGACACCACTCAGAGGACAATGTACAGGAAGGAAAATGGCAGGACTGGGTGATGGAGGAAGAGGCAAATTAAAATTGGGAGCCAATTTTCCCTGAGAATGTGTCTCCACAGAGCTGCTTCAAAATTGCATGGATTAAGAATCTGATGCACTGGGCAAAATTCTCAACTCTGTGCTTACCAGTTCCGTCACCCAGTCCAGAACTGCTCTGAGTTTCTTCATTTGTAGTTTGGCTATAAGACCTCTCAGGCCCCTTCCAGCCATGCGGACTAGAAGTCTAAGCAATGCTGTTGCTTTTACAGGAGAAGGATCATTTCTGAGACCACACTGGTTATTTGCCTAACTCAAGAACAGATCAAAACTGAATGGAGGGCTTCCCTGGTGGCGCAGTGGTTGAGAGTCCGCCTGCCGATGCAGGGGACACGGCTTCATGCCCCAGTCCGGGAAGATACCACATGCCACGGAGCTGCTGGGCCCGTGAGCCATGGCCGCTGAGCCTGCGTGTCCGGAGCCTGTGCTCCGCAACGGGAGAAGCCATAGCAGGGAGAGGCCCTCGTACGGCAAAAAAAAAAAAAAAAAAAACTGAATGGAAATGAAACTGCGGCCCATTCACAACCAAATGAAATGTTTCAGGCCCAGTGAACATTCTGTGTACTGTTCTAGGAATAATTTTTCTGTACTCTGGATTTAAACAGCTGGAATTATTTTTTTCATATGACCCCCTTTTGAAATGCAAGTTTGTCCTCCTTGAGAGAAAATTTGCATTTCAGAGAAAAGATGAGACAGTATATTTGGTAACTCTTCAAAGAAGTGAACCCTTCCGTATAGTACTTTACATTAAAGGTGACTCTTCAGGAGCGCTTCTTAAAAACAGGGAAAACTGGAGGCATGGAGAAATGGGGGAGAAAAGGCATGGAAAGAAAATCCCAACTTTGCTTCCTGCTCTATCCAAGGCTCTGAGAGGCAACATGACCAAATCAAGGGACTGTGAGGGTAGAAAACGTCAGTGGGTGCTTTAGAAATGAGCGATGGATGTCGTTAATGCAGTGGTTGAAGAAGGCTCAGTGGTCAAGCACCAATAAGTCTGTGGCAAGTGCAAGCAGTGAAACACTATAGTTGTAGAGCATTTCTCAAACTCATGTTTCTTTGCCATCCCTGAATTTGTAACAACCAAAGCAATGAAAGCAAAAAGTCCTGGCACAGAAGAGCTTATGGGACTCCCATTTTGAAACCAATAAGATAGCATAATTTGTTGACTGTCACCTCAACCCCCAAGTCTGTTAAGGACGGTGTTGAGAGAGCAGGCCTTACTCAAGACAGGAGGCCTAACTGGTGTTTGTTTAGTAATACTAAGAGATCACTATCTCAGGCAAGTTTCTAGCCAGAGAGAGAAAGGCTATGAGAAAGCTCTCGGTTTAAGTCTTATTTGGAAGAGAGGGAAAACAAACAAGCAAACTAGGATAGTAGATTCTGTATCCAGTACAAAAATCAAAAAGCAACTCAGGGGTTGAAATCACTGCTAAAACTTCCTGCACCCGCCCAGAAGGCATGCTTGGGAGTCACACATTTCAACTACGGTACCAGCGCATGGTGGGTAGTGCTCAAGGGCTGCGGTGGCCCCCGCTGGTTCCCAAATGAGTGGCTTTGTTCCATGTAAGGGTGAGGAAGACAGAGAATAAGTGAATTTCCTACTGCAGATGCAAATCTATTAAAAAGTTTTAAATTGCAGAGTGTTTAAATCTAAGTACAGATAACAGCTACTTTTCCAGAACCCCTAATGGAGTCACATTTTTTTTTTTTAAATGGGAAGGAGAACCATTAAGACCTTGTATTAGAAAAGATCCTGGCAGGAAATGGGTGGCACACTCAACAGGTAACTGAGGAGCATTTATGGTAAGTACTGTTTACAATAGTGTGCAGTCAGGGCAGGCTTCGTGAATGTGCAGCTTGTGTGGTCACACAGGACCCTGCACTTAGAAGGTCCTGCACTGCTTAATGCCTTGCGGTCGCCATCTTGAAATCCATTGTGGTTTTTGAATAAAAAGTTCTGCATTTTCATTTTGCACTGGACCCCACAAACTATGTAGTTAGTCCTTTGTGCAGGGCTAAGGGAAACCAGCAAGGGATGGTATAGGACCAAAGAACTAAAAACAGTGTGGAACCTTTACCACCCATAAGTCAGAAAGGGCAAGAAAGAGAAATACCTGGAATGGAGGAAACGCTGTCTCTGAAGTTATGGCTGTGACTGTAGCTGTAGGAGTGGGTCACACAACACAAGTGACGGCCTTCTGTAAGAACACAACACAGAACACAGCCATAGTCAACCCACAGCCTGCAGAGAGCACAGGCAGGTGAATAGCTACCCCAGCTTCTCTCTGCCCCTGCCCTCTTACCTCCTATATGTGCCTCCCGTTGGCTGAACCCTACAGGAAGCCAGGGGCTCTGGGAGCCTGTTGATGAAATCAGTGGAGGGCAGCCTGCCAGGGCATAGGGTACAGTGGAAAAAGGTAAAAGTGAATCTGGAAAGGGCAGAGAATAGCCAGCTCAGGACTTTTACCTGAAATTTTCAGGATCATGGTTAAGAGTAAATAACATGAAAATGGA